AAGAGAAAGCTGAAGAAACTTCACTTTTGGAGAACCCGAATGTAGAGCAAGGTATTGCAAGGTTAGTTCTTTACTTTCTAACACCATTTTAATTTTTTTCCTACATATATAAAAAAAAATGTCTACAATTTCTTTTGTAAATGCACATAATTGATATATATATATATATATTGTGTTGAATCTGTGAGGAATGTTTGAGGTTTTTAGTTTTGTTATATGAGCTAGGATAGACTCGTTTGTAAAATCAGAGAGCAGAGAGCAATGAAGAATGTTCAGTATTTTCCCTTAATGCAAATGAGCAAAAACATACACTCAAATACATGACATGTGCTGCCAAAATAGCTCAGATCCTAAATTTTAGGTAGCAAGGACACATCTCCAGCCCTACATAATCATTGGAGGCTACGATCCTTACACCTAGGCTACAATTGGTTATCAAGGTACAGCTGAAACAGATAGGAATTACAGCTGTAGGAATTTCCCAAAAAGGAAACAAAGCTAGCCGTTAGACAGCTGAGCTGACAGCTATTACCAAAATGGAAAGTTCCCAAGTTCTTCGATTTCTACATTCTCTTCATTATCAATCTGCAGGATTGTCATCTGCAGGATGATTTAAGCTTAGTGTGCAGCTTAATTCTCAACATATTGATAATATAGATCGATCGAACAATGAATTTGTATGTTCAGTGGCTGTTCAAACTAATCCATGCATGCATAAAAAATGTAGGTAATCATAAGTACGTCTATTTTCAATGAAACATTGCTTTGTATTGTCTTCCAGAAATTCAGATTCAAATTCAGAGAGCACGTCATCAATGATGGAAAGGAGAAAAGAAATAACAGAGAAAATCCTTTGTGCTGGATGCTGTATAATAATGGGACTTTCTGTAGCTATTTTTGCTCTTATAACGGCAGCAATAGAGTTTATTTTTTTACTTATGGAATTGCCGTTCCACTGGATTTATTCAAAGTGGAAAAAGATATTTGTAATATCATGTGTGTTTGCTGTTTTACTGGATCCACTGTTCCTCTACATTCCCATCATCAAGGAGGACATGAAGTGCATACAGATGGACAAAAGGTTGAACAAGACGGCTTTTGCTCTGCGATCTGTCACAGATTTGTCTTACTTTGTCGACATTATTGTTCAATATCATAGATGTGAGAACTTTTCACTTCAGTTGATTATTAATTTCATTTCAGAAACTACTCCAACTTTAAATTCTTATGGAACTTTCTTTTTCCTCCAACAATAGTTCAGAGGATATGGCGTTCATACATACTAATTGACATTTTAGCTATTCTTCCACTCCCACAGGTAATCTCTCTCTCTCTCTCTCTCTCTCTCTCTCTCTATATATATATATATATATATATAT